CGTTGATTACCACTACAGCCGTTTTCTCAAGACAAGCGACGTTTGTACAAAGACATAATTTTTTGTAGATGTTTTATATTTTTATACTTGTATACAATTTTAAAACATAACTTGAAGAAGACAGTCAAACATTGTCTTTTCTTTTCTTAAATCGCGCTTTTCTCTAAGTGTTGAAAAATATTGGAAGAGTTATGTCAATCATTTTGTTTATTATTATTATTATTATTATTATTATTTTATATATTTGCATATTCACCTCACATATCTGGCGATTATTTCTGGGTGGTGAAATGACAACAATTCTCTTAAAATTGCTTACATATTGTTTATTATCTTTTAATATGCAATATGGTGGTAATCACTGTGGATCAAGTGACAACAAGTCTCCTCTCCTCAGATCTGTAGTACTTTTCTCGGTATCTTTGCACTGCACTAATGAGGTCTTTATAGGCCTTCTTCCTTTTTCTAACTCACTCGATTCTAACATTTTTTTTTTTTTTTTTGCACGGTTCCAACTACTCCATTAATTATGGGCACGACCATTATTTTTATGTTTATGTTTCTAATTTTTTATGGTGGCCTTGAATTTCAATTTTTTTGAAGCAAACAAAATGGGCCAGAAATATTTTTTCAAAGATATTTATTTTGTTCCAAATAATTTCATTAAACAAGGATATATTTTTTCTATTTTTTTTGTTTTTTTTTTTTTGTTCAGTTTTGTTTAAACAGTTTATAATAAAATTTACTAAGAAAATGTGAAAAATGTGTCTGACTCTGATTCTATGCATATGTATGTGTGTGTGTCTATTTCCGCATACATTAGTTACTAGCAAGGTTGCCAGATTGGTCTACAAGTCGTGACTTGGGTAATATTTGAAAGTCCAGCGTTGCTACATTTTGAATTGACTTTCTTTTCATTAGTAGACCAAGTTTATTTTTTATTTTTATTATTATTATTTTTTTTTTTTTGGCACCGATATTCAGAGAACTTAAAACGATTACATGGTTACTTATTTTAGTGCATCAATTTACTTAAAATTATTGCTACTTGATGCAAACAATAGTGCAATATTTAAACAAATTAGCTGTAAATACTCAAAGGTGCTTTTTTATAGCCGTCTGTCATTTTTGCCCACTAAGACTATTTTACATTTACATTTAAAAAAATTATTTTTAAATTTAAAATTCCCATCCCCTCTCATTCGTATGTGTATATAATCGCATCCACGTAAATATAAACTTAGTTTGGAAACATTTCCGTTGATTCCGACATTTAATGTTAACTACACCAAAACCGACGGAAAGACGAAAAGCATCACACGAAAACTTTGTTATACTTCTTTTTTCCTAACATTTATATAAGTAGCAAAGTAATCGTTCTAAGTAACACAGTTAATCGAAATAATCGCTGCTTAATTTGTTGCATTTTCTTTTAATGCTATCTTCCTTCAAGACCTATTCAATTATGGCTCACTTAATCTGTAAATTGCCATTACTTATTGGGAAAGATAGTGGAGTGGTTTTATACTGTTTTCTTCATCCTTTTTTTTTTTTTTTTTTTTTGTGGGGCTAAGACAACCCAGCCTACCCTGCTATTTAACCCAGATCCGGAGAAAATGCTTTTCCCAAGGGTATCAGAGCGGAAGTGAATGCAATAGACAGGACCGATACAGATTCCCCCCCCCCTTTACACATCCATGTTAGCCCAGCGTATTTGCTAAAAGTAGCTCCCCAAATGTCACAAGTAACAAAATTCTAAATTTTAATAGCGCTGGGCTTTCAAATGCAATCAAATCTGGCAACCCTGATCTTTTGTGTGATTTTTTTCCTGACTTTTGGTAATGTGTTGAAAATTGTCTTAAAATCTGAAGACAAACCATTATCATTGTCACACATTGTTTTGGGCGGACAGGCATCATTGTCCTTGTTGTTTTTATCAATACCTTTTCAACAGATGCAAATTAAGAATGAAACATCGTAACCAAAACAACAGAGGGCAGCAGTTAGGATAATTTATATCTCTGTGCATTGCTTGTTATGATAACACAGCAAAAATGGCGCATCATACTACAGTTTAAAATGCTTGCAAAAATAAAGCAATTTCCAATTTAATCATTTTCTAAATAATTTCTAAATAATCAAGTATTTTAAGTGTGTCTATCTAAGGGAGATAACCGCAGGTCTATTAATAGCTCATTACAATCATTTCTCTTGATAAGAAAAGAAGATGAAAAAGCAAAGAAGACTGCACTCTTTTTCATTAGCCATAGTGGCCTAATATTATTATTATTGAGTGAGAGAGTAGCATGCCAACAAAGAACTGCTGGTGTATATATATATATATATATATATATATATATATATATATATAATATAAAGTGTTCCAATAACTTGGACCGATTTTAAATGTGAATTAAGTTTAAGCGTCAAATGATTTTTTTTTCTTTTTCTTTCAGATTTAACAGCTTAAGTCTTTGGCAATTTCAACCATGGAAAGATTAACAATCAAAACAACGTGTTAAAGTTATCGAAGCCTGTTACGAAAATAGACGTTCAAACTTATAAATATACGGCCCAGTGATTCTGCTAGCAAAAAATGCCCACAAAATAGTGACCTTTTGTGGATGCAGTGACTTTTCAACAATCTTCCTTGGATTTTCATCAACCCAAATGCGACAATTCTGCTTATCAACGAATCCACCAAGATGAAAATGGACTTCATCGCTAAAGAGGATTTTTTGCGAAAAATCTTCATCGACTTGTCTTTGCTCATGCACCCAATTGACGAACGTACGGCGCTCCAAATGGTCAGCAGGTTCCAGTTCTTGTGTCAATTGAATTTTGTAAGTGTTTAGAGACAAATCTTTTGTCAAAATTCGATGTAACGTTGTTGTGGAGAGGTTCAATTCCTGCACCCGATGACGAATAGAGGTGTCTGGATTTTGGGCCACATTCTCGTGCACTGCAGCAATGTTTTCAGTTGAACGGCGTAAATGAGTAAGCAATGGTGTTTTCACATCTGCCACCGACCCAATTTGTTTGAATTTACAAACAATTTTTCCAATTGTATTTTCGGTTGGTTGATTATGTTGAGCCCAAAAATCGCGAAGTGCGCGAAATGCATTTCTGTTTGAACGTCAATTTTCGTAATAGGCTTCGATAACTTTATCACGTTGTTTGATTGTTAATCTTTCCATGGTTGAAAATGCCAAAGATTTAAGTTGTTAAATCTGAAAGAAAAAGAAAAAAAAACTTTAGACACTTAAACTTAATTCACATTTAAAATCGGTCCAAGTTATTGGAACACCCCATATATATATATATATATATATATATATATATATATATATATATATATATATATATATATACGCGAAGTCCAATATACCAAATCATGACATCCCTCCTGATAAGGGTATAGGTACATGCATCATAGCCAAATGTACATTATATGGTGACAGGTGGTGCCCAGTTAAAAAATACCTTCAGGTCGAGTAACCCAATCCGCTCACATAATCCCTGATTGAAGGCGTTCCTGGAATATCTAGAAATTACACAGATCACCTTCAAACACCTGGTGGTGAGGCTTCACTACTACACCCGCTCCTGAACAGAGATACAAGGTGTGTCAACCAGTTGCAAACTGGCAGGCAAATCTGGACTACGGAACAGGATATTTGCTTTAGTCAATCTTAATTCACCAAGACACAGCACGTACCTGTTAACACCTCCAGTCAATTAAGAGAGCTATGAGAGTGTAGCATCAGGATATTCATTATTATTATTATTTACTAATTAATTAAGATTGTGTACTAGTTAACATTTGTAAATAATTATCATATAAATTCTAGAAATAAAAAATGATTTGATATCAAGTTTCAGGGGCTCCTATGGTAGCATCTAAGTCAGTTTATCAAGTAATAAAAATAAAGAATAGAATTTCACACTGTAAAGACTATTATTAAATGAATTATTCAAACACATCTTTTTAACTTTCATACTTGGATCAATTGGCAAGGGTGAGAAAACTTCCTGTAATAAGCATTAAAAATATACAACAATTTAGAAATATACAGTTGAAGAAGGCTGGAGAAATAAGCAGCCCAAATACGGACAAAGATGGGAATACTCGTTTGACAATAATGTCTCCAATACTGACATTTATTCTAATAAGAAAAAGCTGTAAAATGTTGCTTTGTTAAACAGAACCTGTGCCAATTATGGTCGTAATTCTTTTTCTGACAGATCTTTAAAACAGCCACAACTTTATCGGAATTTTCATACCCAAAAATCATTTTTTCTAAGCTTAGAAATACTATAAAGTTTTCAGGACAATATTTTCTATTTTCTTTATACTCTTACTTAGCTTAACCTGGCACAAGGACAAAATACTGTGCACTCAATGATGACTGAATTAACTTTCTAATCATTGCTCCATCATAAGAGACCTTATTTACTAAAATTTAGCATTGACTGACACAAGGCCACAAGTGTGGGGTGCTTAAGAAAAATAAAAAATTCATTAAAGTTGAAATGATTTTTGAGACTGGCTTGCTAATCAATGCTTAATGATGAAAAGGCTTATTTATTAGGTTTAGCTTAGTCTGGCACAAGGCAAAATACGCAGAGCATTTAGTTTGCGAACTACTACTAATAATTGTCCTTTTGTATGAAAATTGATAATGAAAATTTGGTCTGTTGGTCTCGTTTTTTTTAATTGTTTGCTTCGTTTTCTACGGCTTATCAACCCTTTGCAGGTTATTTAAAGCCAGAAAATATTTTATGATTGCAAGAATTTTTTACGACAATAATGATTTAAGGACATAAGTCTTACTAATTAACCTATAACTGTGGTGGGGTGTTAGAGAAGAGCTGGATTCATGCCTTTCCCAAGGGTATTTGGGCGTAAGTGAATATAACGAACCCAACTGGAATTAGAACTCCATTCTCCGATGAACAATTCAGAGCCGTTATCCATTTCACCGCCCGCATATCCAACCTTACAGCACTTTGTATTCCCAAGCGGTCCAGTACCTATACTGGCCAGGCTCGATATTGCTTAACTTCGGTGGTCGTACGGGAACCGGTGTTTCATCGTGATATGGCCGTAAGCTCTGATGGTCTCAGTCTTTGGTTCAATCCCTGATACGAAACAAGTAAGGATTTGAAAACACACACACACACAAGATGGGGGATAAAAAGATGCCCTTTCGTCATATCATGCTCTATGAATTTCAGAATTAAGTAAATTTAGAACTGCGACAAAAAAAATCATTCGGAAGGATTCGGAATGGTCAAAAATGGTTTTAGCAGATTTCGCCACGGTGATTCTCACTAATTTAAACGATCAACCACATTTCGGGCGACCTTCCGACGTCAATGAATACGCCCTGCTTACCATTGTGGAGAAAAATAAGCGAAGATTTCGACGGAAGAGATTGCTAAGCGTTTGAAAATCGATATCCCAACTGCCTTCCTCCATTTGAAGAAAAACAGCCGATTTTGGAAAAATAGAAAAAAATCTCATTTTCCATCACGAGAACTCAAGACTTCATGTTGCAGAAACTTAAAGAGTTGAATTTGGAAACCCTACATCATCCACCGTATTCTCTTGACTTAGGTCCTTCGGATTTACAGAACAATTTAAATCGATATTTCAAGTGCCTTTCGCTATTTGAAGAGAATTGGGTTCAAGAAAAACGGCCGATTTTGGCAAATTGAAAAGGTCTCATTTCTCCACCACTACATCACAAGACTTCATGTTGCAAAACAGACATTGAAGAAGCTTAAAGATTTGAAATTGGAAACCCTACATCATCCGCCGTATTCTCCTAACTTGATTCCTTCGGATTTTCATTTCTTCCAGTCTCTACAGAACAATTTAAATGAGAAAAAGTTTGACTGTACTATCAACCAAAAACTACCTCGCAACCTTCTTCCAACAAGAAACACAAAGTTTCTAAAAAAATATCATCAGCGAAATTATTGAACAATAGAGGACAATTGCTAAAAACAATGGCGACTATCTACTTGACTATTAAATGTTTTGGAGGTAATTTGCTTTTTAAGCCCCGCGCTAAGTATCTAATAAAAATTTGCCAAATAGTTATATTTAGGTATAAATTTATATGCTTAATTCGAAAATAACAAAGAAATTGTGATAAAATCTACCGTTTTGGAATTATCGATAATAAATGTTCGAACTCATTTGCGTCGCGGTAGCCTTTACTGGCGTTGTTTGGTGTAGAATAGTCTTGATTATTGCGCACGCGTTGAGTCTTTAGTTGCACAGTAATTGAGTCAAGTAAGAGTCGTAAAAAGGCCGTTAAGAAGGTAATCTTCCGCGCAAATCTAATCAGCAGCGAATGGCTGCCGTGTCGTAACGCGAATGAGTCATTTATTGCCGATAACTTCTAAACGGTAGATTTTATCAAAATTTCTTTGTTATTTCTTTGTTATTTTCGAATTAAGCATGTATATTTAAACCTAAATATAACTATACGAGAAAGTTTTATTTCGCGGAGTTTAAAAATTAAATTACCCGTTTTGTTTTTTGGGTTTTTTTTTTTTTGAATATGTAAAATTTTATTTCTAATTTTCGAATCGGGCACAAACTTGTGCATTGATCTAATATTTAAAACAAGTAATTATAACGCTTAAAATCAAGAGATGGTAATAAATAAATTTATCTGTCCCTACTCTTTAATATTTCTTAATTTTAACCATTAATCTTGTGTGCAAGTCCATAAACACTGAATTCATTGCAATTTAAAGGGTGACTACATTTTGAGAGAAACCATATATATATGTGTGTGTGTGTGTGTGTGTGTGTGTGTGTGTGTGTGTGTGTGTACGTGCGTGTGTGTGTGTGTGTGTATCAAATGAGAAAAAGAACAATGGAGTAAAAATCCACTGTTCGTAGCATTTACTTTTTAAAAAGTGCTCAATAGAAAGTAGAGCAATATATTATTATTATTTTTTATTATAAGAGATTATAATCAAAACGTGTTGAAATCGCTACATAAAAGCTTTCATGTTTCATGATTAAAATTTTAATCACTAGTTACTTACCATCATCTGAAGAAGTACAATCATATTATTGAAACATGAAAGCTTTTGTGTAAGGATTTCAACATGCTTTTTATTATAATCTCTTATAATAAAAATTATATATATATGTGTGTGTGTGTGTGTGTGTGTGTGTGTGTGTGTGTAGTCATTTAAGATCATTTTTATTAGTTGATTTGAAATGGACCATTCGTGTTGGGCCATTGTCAGTATGATGTAACATGATATGTAGGAAAGGTAGTGAGTTATTTATGTTTCGTAAGTGAATTCTATTACATATTCGACGTTGTTTAGTTTATTTCTACAAGGTCAGGTAATGTTGTTTTGCGAAGAGATATTAATAGAGCATCATCAGAAATATCTGGATTTTTTAGATACAACGAATTAAAATATATGTAGTTAACAAATAAAATAAAAAGTTCATATCTTCCCGACTTACGGATTAAATTATCTAATCCTCTGATGAGTGGATAACGTCTGCAGCACTCAAAATCGGGAAGATAAGTTCTTGAACTTTTTATTTGTTTATTATTACTGTTTTATTTGTTAATATCGAGATTTTATAAAGACTGTTTGCATTATCCTTCAGAAATATACCGTTCGACATTTTTTGTCAAAACACAATATTTGTTATACAAAATCCAGAGACGTATATGCAATGTGATAGGTCCTGATCTGGCATCTCGTCATTAGACACTTTCTCACCGACGGGATGTGGCTTCCCTCTGTCTTTTCTACATATATTTTCATGGCAACTCCTCTGACGAACTACTTTCACTGGTACCCCAACTGCATGAATTTAAACGTGCTACTACGTTGGCATCTCGGTTCCACCCTTTCACTGTCGAAACAGTTAAATGTAACCGCATCTTCTACTCCAACAGCTTCTTCTCTCGTACTTCCCGACAGTGGAATTCCCTTCCTCTTACTTGCTTCCCTGATAGCTATAATCTTCAAATATTCAAATGTAATGTCAATCGACATCTTCTCATACCTTGATCTTGATCTCTGTCCTTCTCTATATCCTTTCCTCAAACACCCCTCCTCTTTACTCTTGCTCTCACTCTCTGTAACCCCTTGCATGCCAGTGGCACTCCCGCCTTGCTTGGGGTGAAATGCTTTAAAAAAACGAAACAAAAAAAATACATATATAAAACATATTAAGTTAGTTATGTGTATTTGTAGTGGGGAGGAGTGTAAGCGAGAAATAAAAAGACAGGTGAGAGAAGGAAAGAGAAGGCGACCCATATTAAGTTGTGTGTGTGTGTGTGTGTGTGTGTGTGTGTGCAAGAGAGAAACATATAGATAGAAGGAAAGAGAAAAAGGAGTAAAAAGCCAAAGAGAGTGTGTGCAAGAGGGAGCAGAGAGTGTATGTTTGTTTGTGTGATGTGTGTGTTTATGCGTGCGTGACTGTAAAAATGTGCATGTGTGTGCATGTTACAGAAGAAAAGATAGAGAAAAAGAAATAGTAAAAGGAAGCTGAAGTGAGTGTGTGTGCAAGAGAGAGAGAGAGGAGAGTGCAGAAGTGAGTGTATGCTTGTGTGTGGGGGTAGGCGTGTCACTGTGTGCATGTGCGTTGTGTGTGTGTGTGTCTGTGTGTGTGTGTGTGCGTGCGTGTTTGTAGGCATGTGCGTGTGTACATAAGCGTCCGCGCGCACGCGCGTGCGTGCGTCTATATGTGTGGGTGTACCTGAAAATTTGATTCAGTCATTAATTGTATGAAATTCCTAACTATGAAGATCTAATGATCACATGAGTGATCAACTTATCTTAAGATTTTTAGTATAATTTAAAAAAAAAAAACGAAAAAAAAAAAAAAACAATGAAAACAATGGTTCTAAAAAAAATAGTAAAATTTTAGCGAAGTGAGGAAGAATTTTTGTAAATTGTCATTCATTAGATTAAATTTTCCTCTAAGAAACACAATATTTGTCAGAATCAAAAAATATGGATTTTTATCATTTTAGAAGGGATGTCCTGTTCATAAGATAAATTAAATACAATATCAAATCGATCCCTGACTTCGTAAAGAGGGGCCTAGTTCATAACAATGAATGTCACGGTTGATTTTTTTACTGAAAATTCAAACGTAGAAAATTAAAGGGAGATAACTGTTATATCTGAATGTCGTTTGTCTTAAAGTATAATAAAAAATACACTCGTTAATTTGATTGTTGTTTATTCGTGATAATAAATGATTGACAAGTCCGTTGGTTTGTTTCAGAGGATTATTTAATGTTAAAATCAGTTTAAGCCAGAAAATTGATTGTCTCTTTTTCTTTTACGGGCAATGAAAATAAAATTTAATTAAAATAACGAATAAAATATAATTTAAAATATAAGATAAGGATTACTACAGAAAACATTTTAAAATAGTTAATTTAACTTATAAAATAGTTAATAATACTTATTTCATTTATCTGTTAAATGGGTTTATTTTTTGTCATTTTTTACTCGTCTTTAAATATTGCTAAAATAAAACCCAAATATTAAGCAACATTATTAAATGAATGAAGACTTAAGTGATGAATTTATGAAGAAAAAGGTATCCATTATCAAAAAGAAACAACAAAATTTTTTTAAAAGTACAACTCAGATATACAAGTTCCCTGCTTTTAATTTTCATATTTAACACTTTTGGTGAAACAGTTTTCAGACAAATGATATTTACTGTTATGATTGTCTTCTCATAAAGAGTTATATGTACTTTGTTTTTATTTATAAATGTCAAGTTTGAAATTGTGCTTATACCACATAACTGTAGTGTATATTATCAGGAATTGGGAGAGACGACAAAATCAGCAGCAGAATGCAGAATCTACAAAAATTATTCCCCCCAAAAATCTTCACTATTTCTTGAGAATGGACCAGTAAACTTTAGTAGAGCCAAATTAAAGAATGAAAGAAACTAAAAAAAAGAAATGCTTTTCTTATAAAAGCCTTTATAAGTAATGTCTATAACTTACTCATTTTCGTTGTCTTTATTGCAATGGATCAACCTCATACCCCTTAACTCTAATTGCTACCTGGATTACCGAGAGGT